TTCTGACAAAGAAAACCTGATGGAAACTTGCATTCAAGAAGAGGATTACGTGTTTTCGTAAACGAGGCGGCAAAGCCCTGCAGGTGTCGCGGTATCATTCGGCTTTTAAGGTGTTTGACCTGCCTTTAAATCGTCCTTAGGTGAACTGAAGTTATTTCTTAGAATTTCAAGTTTCGTAGTGCAAACAGAAGGCGCCAACCGTAATAGTGCATTCCCGCGACCTTAGTTCCGCCAATGGAACTTGCAGAACATGTTTAATTCCGTTGACCTTAATGATTCTAAATGAAATTTTTATGAGTAATGAGCGAAACTGTCTCCTAATATGCGAACCTTTCCCGAACAGTGTACCTTGTCATACAATGCACGAGAAGAGTATTGGCGTTTCAGAATTCTTCCAAGCTACAATACTGTCCCTTCGAACAGACAGAACAGCTCTGGTTGACAGCGGATAAACAACTTTGGAAAATAGAACTTTTTCCAGGAAGAGAAAACGACAGAGGCTGGAATGATCAGTTAGCTATACCTCAACACGAGTTTGAATAACCTGAGCTTCTTACTTTAAATAGCTGCTTATTAGACATTTTTGAAGTCTAACGTTCTATCATGGAGCCATGGGGGCCGTTTCTTGTCAGTTGCAAAGTGCGTCCTATGTTTATTTATTTGTTGCCAGTTTAAAAGCATCGTTGTCGATTGTAGGGTCCAGACGTACAGTAGATGTCATGTCTTATGAAATGTGAAAATCAAAATTTTAGTGAGTGATTTAATACACATTTAAGTTTGTTTAATTTGTTCATCGGGTTGACTTGAGGAGCAAAATGATGTTTACTAGAAAAGAATTCAGTTCAGATCTGTATATCGTGGGGCCAAATCCAACGTTTGTTGATATCCAAGGAATTTCCTACGCTATTAAACGCTGCGGAAAAAACGCCTTGATTTTGCGTGTAAGACCACAAAAGAACATAAAAAAGCAGAAACTCTTTAATTATATGAGTTCAGAGAACAGGCAATTTTGTCTTGCGTCCATGAAAACTGCTCCGGTATACATAGAAAGGTGAATTCTTTCATTTTCAGCAAAAGATGCATTCTAAATTTTTAGAGAAGTCAATAAACTTGACAAAATTTTCCACTTTTATCTTGCTTTAATCTTCAAAAAAATAAAGTACGCAGATGCTCCAGGCCGAAATATCTAAGGAAAGCGCATTTTCAAGAGGTGACATGTTCTAGAAAGTCTTTTTGAATCAATCTTAAGCATATTCATTCGCGGCTTTTTGTGTAGACGTTCATTTTTTCCGGCAAGAAGGTGACATTTTAGGTGATTATAAAAACCATGACCCAAACAGACAGCTGTATAAGAAAGAATGTTTACAAATCCCTTATTTAGATGAACGCTTTGAAGAAATATCTTATTTTGAAGGTTTTGGTAAGCATGAAGAATATAATCCTTAGTTGGGGTCAATCGACTGCGGCCAGTAAAACTCGTAAACTGTTAATTACCATTTCAAGAAAGATAGGAACCTCGTAGTAATCGAAGTCCCAAAATAATTATAAAGTACTCTGGCAAAAGAAAATTCCTTTTAGAGTGAAAAACATGGTACGTTTACAATTGCACTTAGTAATTCTATTTAAATTTATCAGTTACTGACCGGCATGTCCGCACGTGAGCTTACAAAATATCTTCAGCCTGTGACTTCCCAATCGGCCGAATCAAGCAGAAATCTCGTTGCCTTAGTCCAACGTAACTCAAGCAATGTATAAATGGAAGAAACAACAAGCAACTTTCATGAAACCGTTTTGGAATACATACTCGAAATTTGGGCCCTTCGGCAACAGCCATGCATAATATTGCACCTAATATAAGGGCATATATATCCAAAAACATTTACAAGACGGCTATTTTCCCACGTAATTATACTTGTGCTGCTTTATTCACTCTGTTTTTTTGCATAAACAGGCTTCCTCTACACTTAAAGCTTAAGTGTGCCTAGTAGGCCCGATTGTTAACTTTTTCGGAACTTTCCCTTTTGCTAAAAAAGCATGTATTTCCTTGATAAATCACAATATTTTGCGTTTTAGTAATAGGAAGTTACTTCTAAAAAGCCTTCGATTTCTTGAGTTAGACAGCCTACTATGTTAGTTGTTCTCGTATGTGCACGCAGTAAGGACTATTTGCGCTTTGGCTAATCCATGCGAACTCATTTTGTGGGTGTTTCGATGTTTTCCGCGCCTCCTTTTTAAGTTAAAGTCATTTGCAGCTCTACTAGCTTTTGGTAAGTTCATGCATTTGTAAAAACTTCCCAACCAGTCGCCCATGGACATCAACAAAACGTTTCCGAACGTTGACTTATAGCCTTTTAGCGAAAACTCACAACTGATCCTGCTCTCGCGCGGCGATGTGAGTTTAACTAGCAAGTCAGTATGCTGTCCTGAAGGACAGTATCCAAGGTCCAGGAGGAAAATTATCCAGAACTGAATTTTAGATTAGCATGGCTTGTTGTGCGTGGCTGCAGCTTCAGCTGTTTTGCATATACCTTGTTACCGTTTTAGGTTTAAAATTAAAGTTTGTGTTCTATCTGTGATGCAACTACTATCTATTTCATGCAAGCTTGTGAGATGTTTTTTGTAGACCAAATTTTGTAGTGGTGTGCTTAGGTGCGGCTTTTGCTGTTTCCATCACCTACTCTGTAATGACACCGGGCACGGACGGCTTAGGGAGGGGAAGAGAGTGCGTTAGACGCAGCGCAAGTCACCGCGGCCTTCTGGAGCACGCAATGGACATCGTCGAAACTGACGGTCGAAATATCATCATCATCCAACGACTTTTCCACAATAATTGAAATTCCTGATTGCACTTGTTAGGACAACGGTACTGCATTTTAGTGGTAAAACGTGGAACTACTGACCGCTTAATGAACAACGAATCTGAGTTTTAATCTCGGTTATCGCAAGTCAGGCGTTGGATATGGCTGACTGAGGAGGGCTAATAGCTTTCCCAATCTTCTTTGCTGCTGACGGTAATCCACTATCTGCATGTACTGCTAGTCACTGTGTGACGGGCTATGAGGGCTCTAGATTGAGCTCTCAAAGTGCTACCGGACGCGCATGTTTCGTAACTCGATCGATGTAAACCCTTGCCACAATAGATGACCTTTCCTACCATTTACAGTCAGCTTCTTGGCATCGAACCTTAAAGGAGGAGATCTTAAATCGCAAATCTGACGAAGCTAGTTTGTTTAGCTCA